GGAAGAGAATTTGGACAAGTTCTGATCAGAAAGAGCCTTGGGCACCAGGCAAGGAGATTTCATTCTATCCAGTAGGCAGTGGGGAGCTATTGAAGGTTGCTGAACAGGAGACTGGTGTGATCAGAGCTGATGACCAGTGTTCTGATGGATGATGTGGGGAAAGACTGGAAGCACATCTTTGTGACTCCTGGAAGCTGTGGTGTAGATGGGAGTGAAAAGCAGGAAAAAGCAGAAAAGATCTTAAAGATTAGGACTCCTGGGGAGTGATTGGGAACCATGAAGCAAGACTTTCCTGTCCTTTCAGCAGACTTCGTGGTTTGCTCCTCTGACTTCCCACACACTTGGCCTGCACCTCAATCCTAGCCCTTTATGCATGAATGCACGAATGAAATTAGTACCATCGAAAGGCTTTAAGGTACCCATAAAATTCAATGATCATTCAGCAAGTTGGGCCGCTGGTCTGTGCCAGTCCAGTGCCAGGCATCAGCTCTGCACTCCCCTGCCTTCCAAAAGCTCGAAGTTTAGTGAGAAAGAGCACCAGCCTGGAGGCCTGTGTATAGGTTTTACCACCTCTGGCTTCCTGACCTGAGTGTCCGTTTTCTTCTCTGTGAAGTAAGGAAGTGCATGACCTACCACATAAGGCTTTTGGGAGGACTATGTGAGACAGTGTTAAGCGTTTAGCCCTGTAAGTGGCATCAGTTTTAACAGTTCTTACCTATTTAGTGGATGACCCTTCCACTAGGCCAGGAGCTCCTCCAGAGCAGGGACGAATGTCACTCATCTCTGCAGCCTGGCACCTCAGGCAGCAGTCCTTCCCTAGTAGGTAGAAATGAAATGAAGGAAACCAGAGGCTAGGAGCTCTCAGAGGTTGCATTTTAGAGTTATGATGTTTACACTGGTTATGAGTTCAAATAACGTTCAGATGGCTGTAACATCAGACTTCGCCTCAGCTTTGCTCTCTACCAAGAGGGAGGGAACACCTTCTTTTACTTTGATTGGCATGTAAGATTTTAAGTGAATTCCTTGCTTGCAGGTAAGACAATCAGATAGGTCTATTTCTGTATAAACTGTGGGAATCCACATGTAAATATGGAGAACCCTAATAAATCCCAAACTTCTCTCTTAGAAACATCTCAAAATAGATCATGGTTATTTAACTGTTCCTTACTGATCTGTCTTTTAGACTGTTTACCTAACAGCCTTGAAATCAAGCTCCTTTTTTTCTTCCTTCTTTTCCTATAACAAACCAAAAAACCAAACCCACTGCCATCAAGTCAATTCCAACTCATAGTGACCTTATAGGACAGAGTAGAACTGCCCCATAGGGTTTCCAAGGCTGTAATCTTTACAGAGGCAGACTGCCACATCTTCTTCCCACGGTTTCCTATAACACATATTTTTTAAAAATAGCCACTGGACTGTTTCATGAAATGAATAAAAAATAGGTCTCTGCCCTCAAGGAATTCACAGTCTCAAAGAGTAGAAATACATGTAAACTTGTTATTTCTGAACAGTATGAAATGCTATACTATAGAGATAAGCTCACTTAAGTATTTCTTCAACACCTGCCATGAGCAGGGATGGACCAGGTGTAGTGAGCACTCATGGAGGGAGTGATGAGGCAGGCCCTCAAAGAAAATGGCCTCTTCTCTTCCTCTCCCTAGCCCTCCCTCCCTTGGTGTCAGTTACCCAGAGCTCTATCTCCAGACTTAGATAGTCGTTGCTAGGTGCCGTCAAGTTGGTTCCGACTCACAGCAACCCTATGTACAACAGAACAAAGCACTGCCTGGTCCTGGGCCATCTTCACAATCATTGTTATGTTTGAGCCCATTGTTGCAGCCACTGTGTCAGTCCATCTCGTTGAGGGTCTTCCTCTTTTTCCCTGACCCTCTACTCTACCAAGCATGATGTCCTTCTCCAAGAAGTGGTCCCTCCTGATAACACGACCAAAGTATGTGAGACAAAGTCTTGCCATCCTCACTTCTAATGAGCATTCTGGCTGTAGTTCTTCCAAGACAGATTTGTTCATTCTTCTGGCAGTCCATGCTATATTCAGTATTCTTCGCCAACACTGTAATTCAAAGGCATCAATTCTTCTTCGGTCTTCCTTATTCATTTCCAGCATTCACATGCATATGAGGCTATTGAAAACACCATGGCTTGGTCAGGCACACCTTAGTCCTTAGAGTGACATCTTTGCTTTCTAACACTTTAAAGAGGTCTTTTGCAGCAGATTTGCCCAGTGTAATGTGTCTTTTGATTTCCTGACTGTTGCTTGCATGGGCGTTGATTGTGGACCCAAGTAAAATAAAATCCTTGACAACTTCAATATTTCTCCCTTTATAATGATGTTGTTTATTGGTCCAGTTGTCAGGATTTTTGTTTTCTTTATGTTGTGGTGTAATCCATACTGAAGGCTGTGATCTTTGATCTTCATCAATAAGTGCTTCAAGTTCTCTTCACTTAGAGCAAGTAAGGTTGTGTCATCTGCGTATCACAGATTGTTAATGAGTCTTCCTCCAGTCCTGATGCCGTGTTCTTCATATAGTCCAGCTTCTCATGTTATTTGCTTAGCATACGGATTGAATAAGTATGGTTAAAGGATACAACCCTGACGCCCACCTTTCCTGATTTTAAACCATGCAGTATCCGCTTTTTTCGGTTCAAACAACTGCCTCTTGGTCTAAGTACAGGTTCCTCATGAGCACAATTAAGTGTTCTGAGATTCCCATTCTTTGTAATGTTATCCGTAATTTGTTATGAGCCACACAGTCGAATGCCTTTGCATAGTCAGTAAAACAGAGGTAAACATCTTTCTGGTATTCTCTGCTTTCAGCCAGGATCCATCTGATATCAGCAATCATATCCTTTGTTCCACGTCCTCTTCTGAATCTGACTTGAATTTTCTGGCAGTTCCCTGTTGATGTACTGCTGCAGCTGCTTTTGAATGACCATCAGTTGCTCATATGCAAGTTGAAGTTGAAGAAAATTAGAACAAGTCCACGAGAGCCAAAGTACGACCCTGAGTATATCCCACCTGAATTTACAGACCATCTCAAGAATAGATTTGATGCATTGAACACTAACGACCGAAGACCAGACAAGTTCTGGAATGACATCAAGGATATCATACGTGTAGAAAGCAAGAGGTCATTAAAACGACAGGAAAGAAAGAAAAGACCAGAATGGATGTCAGCAGAAGACTCTGAAAGTTGCTCTTGGATATACAGTAGCTAAAGCGAAAGGAAGAAATGATGAAGTAAGAGAGCTGAACAGAAGAATTCAAAGGGCATCTTGAGAAGACAAAGTAAAGTATTATATAATGAAATATGCAAAGACCTTGAGATAGAAATCCAGAAGGGAAGAACATGCTTAGCATTTCTCAAGCTGAAAGAACCGAAGAAAAAATTAAAGCCTCGGGTTGCAATATTGAAAAATTCTACGGGGAAAATATTAAACAATGCAGGAAGCATCAAAAGCACATGGAAGGAATACATAGAGTCACTGTACCAAAAAGAATTGGTCGACATTCAACCATTTCAGGAGGTAGCATATGATCAGGAACCGATGGTATTGAAGGAAGAGGTCCAAGCTGCACTGAAGGCATTGGCAGAAAAACAAGCCTCCAGGAATTGACAGAATACCAATTGAGAAGTTTTAACCAATGGATGCAGTGCTGGAAGTGCTCACTTATCTATGCCAAGAAATTTGGAAGACAGCTACCTGGCCAACTGACCAGAAGAGGCCCATATTTGTACCCACTCCAAGGAAAGATGATCTAACAGAATGCAAAAATTATTGAACAATTAGATATCTAAAACCAAACCAAACTAAACCCATTGCTGTTGAGTTGATTCTGACTCATAGATATCTAGACCTGTTTAATCCAGCAGACAGCTGGATTTTGCACTTGGATGCCCCATGGACCCTTCAGACTCACCATATCTGAAACTGAACTTTTCTCTGTACCTCCTTCCCCCAAAACCTGGCTTCTTCTCTTGAGCCCACTGTCTACCCAGAGATCCAAGTCAGATACGTGGATGTCCCTTTAACCCCTCCATTTCTCTCACTTTCCACATCTAGTCAGTCCTTATGCCCTATTGATCCCTCTTCACCATTTATGTAATTGATCCTGCCTGAAGCTGCTCTTGTCCAGGTGCTCATCACCTCTTACCTGGACAGTCACAACCTCCTCTTCATGTTTTCCTATGGTTGAGGAATAATCTATCAGACTGGTTAAGACCTGAGGCTCTAGAACCAAACAAACTGAAGTTAAAATCCTGCTGCTGCCACTTTAGGAGCTGTGTGACCATGGATAAGTCATTAAACCTCCCCAGGACAGTTTTCTCATCTGTAAAATGGGACCCCCTATTACCTCTCTCGTTGTTCTAAAGATTAAGTAAGATGCAACAATTTGGTGGATGAATCTCACCAACAATGCTGAGTGAAAGAAACCAGACATGAAAGAATACACTAGGATTGTCTTCATATAAAGGTAAAAAACAGGCAAAGCTGAATGGTATTGGTTAGGGTTGCAAACATAGGTGGCAAAACTAAGGAAAAGCAAGGAAATGATTATCACAGAAGTCAGGATGGTAGTTACCTTGTGGGGAGAGAGGGAATTGTGATCAGGAAGGGACACACAGGTGGCTTCTGGGATGCTGGCAAGGTTCTTTTCACAGGTGTTTTACAGTTATTAAATTGCATGTAAACGTTTATGCATCTTTCTGTGTGTATATTTTGTTTCATCATTTAAAAAGTTTTTAAAATTCAGTGAAATAACCTATGTAAAATGCTTAACACAGCACTCAGAGCATAGGCAGAGATGGGAAAGCCTGGCTGCCAGCTTTAATTGTTGTGTCCTGCCTGCTTGCCTCCCCCACCAGACAGAGCAGCAGACTCTTGCTGATTCATCCCTGTCCCCCGTGCTTGCACAGAGCCTGGCAACTAGCAGGCCCCACTGAGAATGTGAGGAATGGCAGTGACCAGAGGGCAACCTATATGTTTTCTCTCTTCCAGGCTGACGAGGGAGCAGAGCCTGGGCACGTGGCCTCTACGAGCCAGGCCTGCTCTGGAAAAAGCACCCGGTCGTCCCTCCCAGGCCCTGCCTTCCCCAGGCTGCCCAGGCCCCACTAACAATGAGTGAGAAGGAGGAGGACGATGACGAAGCCTGGCTGCAGCTGCGGCCGGTGGAGCCCTTGCCATCCCAGTGCTGTGGCAGTGGCTGCTCACCCTGTGTGTTCGACCTCTATCACCGAGACCTGGCAAGGTGGGAGGCAGCCCGAGCCAGCAAGGACAGGAGCCTGCTGAGTGGGGAGGAGCCACAGGTGAGGGAGGGCTGCCTTTCAGCCGCAGGGCCAGGGTAGCAGTCAATCGGACCTTGGCCCTGCCCAGCGTCACTTGCTCTGGGAGGCCTTCTCTGACTCTACAGCTGAGAGAAAAGAGTGTGCGTAATGGAAGCAAGTGCAAAGCCTGGCCTCGGCACTTACTAACAGCTGTGTGGTTTTAGGCAAAGTCCCTTAACCTCCCCAAGCTCCTTAACCTCCCCAAGCCTTAGTTTCCTCATCTGTAAAATTGGTCTAAACATTTGTGATGTTTAGCACAGAGCCTGGCATTCATTTAGTTTAACAAGTATATTTTGAGTACCTGTTATATACCAGGCCCTATGATAAGCACTAGGGATTTGAGAGTTAGCAAGACAGACAGTCCTTGCCCTCATGGGGCAAACTAGCACGTGCTATATACTAGGTAAATAAGGGATTGTATTATTATTATTACTACCACCACCACCAATACTACTGCTACTGTTACTATTTTTCTTCTCTGGCCCTTACCCCTTTTATGAACTTGTAGAATGCTTCATGGTCTGATCTAAGCAGTTTAGAATTATAGTGTGATGTTTGGGAGGGTTCACAGTAACAATTACAGACTATCAGAAGACCATGGAGTTCAACCTTTGTATTGTACACATAGGGAAACTGAGGCCCCTTTCCTTCTGTTGCTGTACATAGGCCTGGTTTGAGTCTCCATCCTAGTTGCCTGCCTCTTGATGGGCTTTCCATTGTCCATGACCCTTCTGATCAGTGTGGAGTGGAGTGAAGACGTCTCCTCCCATTTCCATGGCACCCCACCTCTGTTAATGCAGCCCAACATCACCGTCGCTTTTTGGCCAACTGCTTCCCTTTGTTAGCACCAAAACTAGGCCAAAGCTCTGTCTAACCTATAGATCATACATCCTGAGTAAATACAGTTATTTTTATTTTGAACCCCAAAGGACAACTTTACGTTTATCCCCATTGAATGTCTACATGTAGTTCTGCCACTGGAAGGTAGTGGTTGGGACCAGAGTCCTCTGGCCTCTGCCAGTGACTGAGGAATATTCATGGCAACGCCCGTGTTCCTCCCTCCTCACTGCCCTCCATCTCTGCGTGCCTGGCCCCCTCATTTTTCTAATCGCTGCTCAGACTTCTCCTCCTCCAAGAGGCTTTCCTAACTACTCTGTCCATCTGCCCCCCATCACTCTCTGTCCTCTCACCCTGCTTCATTTCTCTCCTTAACCCTCAGCACCACCAGACGCCGTCTAGATCTACTTGTTTGTATAATGTCCACCTCTCCTTCTAAATGTAAGTTCCACAGGAGAAGCGGCCCTGTCTTACTCACTGCTCTAACCCCAGCACCTCAAGCAGCACCTGGCATTGATTGCAGTTGGTGCACAGTAGATGATTGTTGAATGAGTGAATGAGTTTCTCCCAGATCTACTGGGAAACTCATGCCCTGTGTGCCACACCCAAGGGGGTTGATGATAAAGTAAAGATGCCAGTGTACCAGCCCTCAGAAAGCTCAACTTATAGAAGAGGGACAATATTCATAGTACTACGTGACTCCGAGAATTCTTGGGATTGAACTAGTGGGTGCATTTTTGTAATAAATAATAATAACAGCAGACACTTTTATAGCACTTACCATTCAAGGCCCAGTTCTTGTACTTATATGGATGAACACATTTAATTCTCACAGAAGCCTGTGTGGTAGGTTCTGTTATCATACCCAAGAGAAAACTGAAGTCAGAGAGGTTTAGTAACTTGCCCAGGGTCATACAGTCAGGAAGTGTCGGAGCCAGGATTTGAAGGTCAGCAGTCTGACTCTAGAGCCTGTGGTATTAACCTAATGTGATTAGCACCGACTGAGAGAAGATGTCACTGAGAATAAGAATGTGAGCTGAGGTCCAGTTCTGCCAGTTAATTGTGTGATCTTGGACACGTTATTTTAGTTCACTAAGTCTCAGTGTTCTCATCTGAAAAATGGGGATGTTAATACTCTGTAGGTTGTTGTGAGGATTTCATGGGATGAGGATGTAAAGCACCTGGCACATAGTAAGCAATCAGTAAATAGTAGCTGTTACCACTCATTATATACAAATGTTAAGTGATATCACAAGGTTTTATCAGCATTATAATGCAAAATAGCATATTTCAGTTTAATAATACATTTTATTTATTTACTTTTAATGAAGTAATAATAGAAGAAAATTTTAAATTTTCATAACAATTTAAATTCTGTAATTCTGTAAAATGCTTTTACATTGTTATCCCATCTGACCCTCCTGATAATCATATAAGGTTATCAGGGATGAGTGGTCCCTTTTTACAGGTAAGGAAACAGAGACCCAGAGAATCCAATGATATACCTAAGGCCACACAGGTGGTCAAAGGAAGACCTGGGGCTATAAACCCAGGTCTCCTGACTCCCAGCCCAGAGCACTTTTCACAGCACCAGGCAGCTTAGACAGAGGGTGCCCAGCTTCTCTGGCTGATAATGAAGAGGTTGTCCTGGCTTGGATGGGAGGTGTGGGAGGGGGCCAAGCCTGAGAGTGTCAGCCAGTTCTGTAACACTGTTGGCACTGCCATGGCGAGTTGGGGCTGCAGAGCTGCTGCCTTAGGAGCACACCGTGCCAGGCCCTGAGCTGGACATGGGGAGGCGGGGTCGTCCCGAGAGTGAACCAGGCGTGGGCATTTTACAGGAGGGAGAGATCTGTGAGTCCTGGCATTCAGAGAAGCCTTCCTGGAGGAGGTGTAGGTGGGGTAGAGTTGTAAGGGCGCTGGGCTACAACTTAGAAGACATGAAACTTGAGTCCCTGCTCACAGTGTGACCTTGGACAAGTAAGTCTGTACCACTCAGGCCTCGGGTTATCCATATGTAAAATAAGGATATTGGATTAGATCATCTTTAAGGTCCCATCATTTTCTAAATTCTGTAAATCTGGATTTTAGCAGATTTGAAGGATGGCTAGGTCTTTCATAGATTAGAGTGAGTATTCTGGGTAGAGGGCATAGCTTGAACAAATAAATACCCAGAGGGAGGAGGCAGCAGGGTGTTCTTGGGAGGATGAAGAAAAGTCCAGCGTCTGATGCATGGGAGGTACAGTGAGGATGGAGGGCAGCCCACTAGGCCCTTGAGTGTCCAGCTAAGGAGCTTGCTCTTTATCCAGAATAAGCTAAGTATAAAGTGCTCTGGCATTCCTAGACTAGAGCATGAAAGAAGCTAAGATGGGGCTACTCTCTGTTGTACAGAAAACTTCCTGGCCAGGACAGCCTCTTATTGGGGAAAGTGGGAGGGATGCTTGTGGATGCCTGTACGTCCCTTGAGCCCGGCCTCTGCCCGGTTGGATCTTTTGCTGTTGCAGAGCTGCCCCTCCAGCCTGAGCCCAGAGACCTTCGTGGCCTTCAGCATTAGCACTGTGGACAAAGTCACCAAGGACACCTACCGCATCCGATTTGCACTGCCCGGGAATAGCCAGCTTGGCCTGCGGCCTGGCCAGCACCTCATCCTACGGTACACTCAGGTAGTGGGAACACCGAAGTTTGGAGCCCTGCCTTGCCGTGCGCTGGCTGTGTGGCCTAGGACAACATGCTTAACCTCCACTGAGCCTCCATTTTGTCATCTTCAAAACAGACATAGTAATACACTTAGGGTTCTTGGGATTGAACTAGAATGCATTTTTATAATAAATAATAATAACAGCAAACACTTTTATAGCACGTACCATTCAAGGCCCAGTTCTTGTACTTATATGCATGAACACATTTAACCCTCACAAAAGCCTGTGTAGTAGGTATCCTTATCATACCCAAGAGGAAATTGAAGTCAGAGAGGTTTAGTAACTTGCCCAAGGTCGTACAGTCAGGAGGTGTCGGAGCCAGGATTTGAAGGCCAGCAGTCTGACTCCAGAGCCTGTGGTATTAACCTAATGTGATTAGCACCAATTGAGAGAAAGACATTGTCATTGAGAATGAGGGACTTGTGCAAGATCACACAGCTAATAAGAAGTGGAGCCAGGATTCAAACCCAGACAGTCTGGCTCCTGACTCCATACTCTTTTTTTTTTTTTTTTTTTTTTTTGAATAAGTTTTTTTTTTTTTTTTTTTTATGGTACTTCAGGTGAAGGCTTACAGAACAAATAGTTTCTCATGAGACAGTAGTACGCATATTGTTTTATGACATTGGTTAACAACCCCACAACATATCAACCCTCTTAACTTCTCAACCTTCTTTTTTTTTTTAGTGAAAATACACATAACCAAAGATACGCCATTTCAAAAATTTCTACATGCACAGTTCAGTGACCTTGACTACGCTCTTCCAATTGTGCTGTTATTCTCACTTAAGATGAAGGCTTACGGAACAAAATAGTTTCTCATTTAACAGTTACTACAAATGTTGGTTGCCCTATGACAATGGTTAACAATCTCACAACACATCAACAATATCCTTACTCAACCTTGGGTTCCCTATCACCAGCTTCTTTGTCCCCTTCTGCCTTCTGGCCCTTGTCACTGGACTGCTGTGCCTTGTTAGTCTTATTTGGTTTTACGGGGCTGTCCACTCCCA